AGACTGTACGAAGCAACCGAGGTGCATGCTCTGCAAAAAGGAGGAAGGAAAGGGCCATATGATGGGAAGTTTCAGGTGCCCAGAGTTCAAGAAGGCGATTGTTAGCATTTCTTCCAAACCAACTCTATGAAAAATCAGCCAAAGTTTTTGGACTGATCAAAGCTGAAATATATTCACATTCGATAACTTCTTCTTAACACTTTTTAACCTCAATTAGCTACTTACAAATTTAGTTTTCAATCCGAGTTTCAATCCTCTTGCAGATCGGATTCCGTTCGGTACTAGCAGCCACTAACTAGCATGTACATGTTTAATTAGAACTTATCAAATGAACATAGATTTAGATTTAGCAAAGTACTTACTTTAGAGATTTTTCCAACGAATTGTGTTTAAGTATTTTCAATAGAAAATTCTACCACTGCTTATAACCTGCATGTAAATTCATATTTCAGGTATTTTAGTTAGGAAAATTTAGTAGTTCACTTTTCAAACTTACATCAGTTTTATATTAGGTAGGTAGAAATCAATTAAAATCCTCAAATAGAAAAACAACACAATACATTAGATTTTACTTTGCAAATTACTATAAACGTGCCAACTACTAGCTAATTCACTTTGGGTTTTGTTTATGTTTTGGCATTTACATCGATTTCCTTCACTCACCGTCTACCAGGTTGCTAAAATCAACGGACTGCCCCCGTGCGTCATTTTGCGACAGGGATTGCGTTGCCTGCCCTGCGGTTTAGGTCGCAACAGCGATGGTGGGCCAGCAATAATGAATGTAGCCCAAATAAATCTCAATCATTGCAACACAGCACAGCAACTGTTGTGGCAGTCGACAACGGGAACAAAGTGCGACGTTGCAGTCATTGCAGAGCCATATCGAGTCCCTCTAGATAATGGTAACTGGGTGGCGGATAGAGCAGGAATGGCGGCCATACAAGTCATGGGCAGGTATCACATTCAACAAGTGGTCGCGGGCTCATACGAAGGTTTCGTGATCACCAAAATCAATGGTATCTTTGTATGTAGTTGCTACGCACCTCCGATATGGACAATTGAGCAGTTCCACCAGATGCTAGATGGGCTCACCGGAGAGTTCATTGGACGGAAACCAGTGGTCATTGCAGGAGATTTCAATGCTTGGGCAGTGTATTGAGAGAGCAGGTGTACCAATGCAAGAGGGTATAGCCTGCTGGAAGCTCTAGCAAAGTTGAACGTCAGACTTGCCAACTTAGGAACCATCAGCACTCTCCGCAAATATGGTAGGGAATCCATTATCGACGTCATTTTCTACAGTACGTCGCTAGTGGTAAATATGAACTGGAGAGTGTGCGAAGAGTACACCCATAGTGACCATCAGGCGATCCGGTACAGTATCGGCGAACGGACACCGGTGGAAATGCGGAGGACGAAAGTAAGCGAACGGAAGTGGAAGACGAAGGCATTCAATAAGGATATCTCTATCGAATCTCTAAGGGTAGACAGCAGCTATAAAGCTGGAACAAGTCAAACAGTTTCAAGAAGCTGTGTCGAGATGCCGATGCCAACCCTTGGGGCAACGCATACCGAGTCGCGATGTAAAAGATCAGAGGTCCAACGATGCCGGCTGAAATGTGCCCCTACAAGCTGAAAGTCATCGTGGAGGGACTTTTCGCACAGCATGATCCAGCGATCTGACCACCTGCTTGCTGCATACTGTCGGAGAGCTCTTGGAGAGGATCATCATGAACAGGCTGACGAAATGCACGGAGAATGAACACGGATGGTCGGAGAGGCAGATCGAATTCCGGAAAGGGAGATCGACGGTGGATGCAATTCGGACAGTGATTGACAGAGCCGAGAAAGCTTCCAAACAGAAGCGGAGAGGAGATCGATACTGCGCCGTGATTACGATTGATGTGAAGAATGCATTCAATAGCGCCAGCTGGGAGGCCATCGCCAAGGCTCGCCTGGTCTAAGAGACAGACACGGGGCAGAAATCGCTTAGGATCACGGCGGAGTTCCACAAGGCTTCATTCTAGGTCCCACTCTGTGGAACAGAATGTACAATGGCGTGCTGACGCTCAAGCTGCCCAAAGGAGTTGAGATCGTTGGCTTTGCGGACGATGACGTCTTGACGGTAACAGGTGAGACCCTGGAAGAAGTGGAAATGCTGGCAGCCGAGGCGATAGATACGATTGGAAACTGGATGCAAGGAGCGAAGCTGCAGATACCCCCACCACAAAACAGAAGTGATGTTGGTCAGTAACTGTAAAGCAGTGCAGCGGGCAGAAATCACCGAGAGCACGCCATTGTTTCAACGCGCGTGCTGAAGTATCTGGGAGTGATGATCGACGACCGGCTAAGTTTTAACAGCCACATCGATTATGTGTGCGAGAAGGCGGCGAAGGCCATCAACGCAATAGCCAGAATCATGCCGAACAATTCTGGTCCGATCAGCAGCAAGAGGCGTCTTCTGGCTAGTGTGTCCTCATAGATACTAAGGTACGGAGGTCCAGCCTGGAGTGAAGCACTGGAAACGAAGCAGAACCAAAGGAAACAGTACGTTCCGGCTCATGCCTCAACTTCCACTTGACGCAGTTCCTGTCAGGTCATGGCTGCTTCAGGAAGTATCTGCATCGGTTCGGACACACAACGTCACCCTTCTGTCCGGAGTGTGGGAATGTGGAAGAATCACCATAGCACGTGGTCTACGAATATCCTAGATTTGATGCTGTGCGAGAGGAGGGCACCTTTAACGCCGTCAGCAGAGCAGTAACGCAGATCATGTCAGCGCTGCAGCGAAAATGGAGAGAAGACCAGCTACATAGTAGTAATGTGCTCACACAAGTGCGAAAAGAAAGACGAAACCGGGAGAACTCTCCGTAGGAGTAGGCTGAATCCACCGCCGGGGGTAGAACGCGACTACGCTGGGAGCTAAATGGCTCACATACGGAAAAGTAACGGATAAACTTCCATCTCCGGGGAACTCTCCGTCGGAGTCGGTTGAATCCATCGCCGCGGGTTAGCTGAGTAGAACGCGACGCTGGGAGCTAAATGGCTCACAAATTGGAGAGACGATCAGCGAACTTTAAGCGCCAGTTAGCTGAGATAAAGTGAGGTGCGTAATGTACAGCTCCCTCCAAAGTAAAACAACAAGTGGCTCCGGGGGAAAAGGGCTAGGCGTCCAAGGAGGTTTTAGTGCGGTAGGAATCCCACACACCGTGTCACCGCGACCGTGCGCCCGGTCGTCTAGCGGTGATGGCATTTTTGAAGGTTTCCGCCTTGCCGAAAAAAACACACATACAAAAAAAAATACAAATATTTAAGTTTAATTATTTCTTCTATTCCAAACATAACAGAATTTGTTAAAAAAAAAATATAGAATTTAATTTTAACGAAATGTGTTATAATGTTGTTTTAATTGGATTTATGATTTTATTCACACCAATACCCTGAAAGATAATTATATTAAGGTTTGTAATTAACAACAGGAGTTGATAAAATGATGTTATAATTTGGTTTTTCCATTCTGGTCGGATAAAGGCTGTGATTGTCGCTTGTACACATACCTATCATGCGATATATCAAATCCCATGTTCCGGAGGCTAACGAGGAAGTAGTTGTAATCGGATTTAAAATCCATCATTGGTGGTCATGTTAAGTGCCCAGGTTTTCAAGGCGTCACCCTAATTAAAAAAAAATACTGGTCTAATATTTTGCGATAAGGAACAAAACTTACATTTTTTACGAATTTCTTAGAATCACGTTTTGCTATGGAATAACTGTATATAGATATATGTATTGTGTTCGTAGCGGTTAGTTCTGTTCCCAGTTCGTCCAAGGAATTTTTCAGGCTAGACAGTTTTCTCAAATTTCTAATGACACAGACTCAGAAAACTTTCAATTAACATCTGTGGAAACGCTCACAAAACACATGAGGCCAGGCTTAATGTTCCAGATGAGACGTTAACCCTTCCACATTATTCTCCATAATTATCACACGTACACTACCGGTGGATGCATAACTGTCCCATACCATATAGCATGGTACAGTTATGTGCCCACCGGCAGTACATCCTACTGAAATCGAAATTTATATCCGCTTGTAAGAATGATAAATCGATGAATTACTTACCTAGATTTTCCATTTGTCTACGTGTTTCTTGGCATTCATGTGTTTAGTTTCGAGGCTGTTTACAAACTCTGTCATGTTTTATTTTTTTTTAGTTGTTCCCACCCCCTGCACAGACAATCGTTCATTCACACATTCACTCACAATGGGCACCTATATTTTTTTTCTTTCTTCGAAAATGAAACATTATACTCAATTTTAATGTTCTTGACTTTTTTCATTCGTCATTTTCTTTATTGCAACTAGTAACATTATGATGGTTTTCTGTTGTTGTTTTTTGCTTTTCTTTTTCGGTATGATAATTTACAGTACAATTACTTTAATTCATTACCTCAATAATATATATAAAGTTAAATTTTCATATATACGTTTTACCACTTTGTTTTAGTTAGTCAAATTCACTTAAATGTCCTCATTTTACACAGTTGTAATTTTCCTGCTCTTGAACATTCCACTTAATGCTTAGGTAAATTTCTCAATAAAAATAAATAGGATGGTTAAATAATTAACTAATGTAGATTTTATACAGTTTTACAAAGGTTTGTTGATTCGTACTTGTTTGTTAGGATTTTTGCTTGGTTTCTGGTTGTTTGGGACTTGTGGCAGCTACACAAGTCTTTTCCTGTAGTCTACATCTTGAATGATGGATAAATTATACAAATCACTTTGCCTGCTTCTTTTACTCGCTTTTTTACGTTTGCTCTTTTCAGGGGTAGTTGATCGCTACGGTCCCCTATCTGGGTCAAGAAGACGGCAAACAGCTATTTTGAACTAGTGAAAATGGCTTTAGTGGAGTTCCCATGATATGTTCTCATTTTACACCGTTTTCTTCAACAGAAGATCAAAACACAACAACTAGCTAGCGGGAGGTAAAGAAACTAAATGATAATTACAAACAAGATTGACTAAGGAAGGAAGGAACGGCTTCTCGAAAATGCGTTCAATAAAAGAACGATACACGATAAAACTGAAATAAAAAACGTTCAATCGTCGCGAAACTTCTTACCCTCTTATCAATTAATATTTAATACATTTTAATATCACATACACTATTTTGTTATCTATAATTCTTTTATTTACAACACTTTTGCTTAAATATGTCCATTCATTATTTGTATTTATACAAACATTTTATTACAATGTACAAAAAACAGTTCCGTTTTTATTCGAAGAAAAATCCTAAAATTCACTGCGTCCGAGCATTTTATGGACACAATAAACTTAAATTTGGGCGATAGAATTTCCCAACACTTTTGCGTGTCCCTTACTTTTGCCCAAAGAAACTTCCTTTTTATCTCTTTTTGTATTTTTTTTATGACTAATTCGTTGCACTTCAGTATTTTGCCGGTTTACATTTTTCCATTAGCTTACGAACTTGGCATGAGCAAGGTTGCAAAGTGGAGGAAGGAATAAATGATTCTGGATGTTTTCGCACCTCAATTGTCTTCTCATTCGCAACAAGCGCGCACGCGTTCTATGCTGGGATTTTGCCGACGGCTTTTTGGATTTGGAATCGTTTTCAGCACTTGAAGTCGGATTGGATCGTCTCTTCGTGCGACGCGACGCGGTGATCCGAAAGTAAAACTGCCGCAATTTAAGAGTAATTATTGTAATATTGATTGCATTTCGACGCACCCGATTGGAAAGCCGTTTGTTCTTTTCTTCCTGTGTGTGTGTGTGTGTGTTTTGTCCCATGGGTATTGTGCAAGCTGATTGATGATGGTTGAATTTGTTTATTCACTGTACTGATTAGGCAGCTCATTTCATGTTTTAAGGGGGCTATTTTTTATGGTAGCAAAGAAGGAAAGAACTTGCATTTTGCCCGGGCCGTGACCGTTGAGAATGGGAAAACTTATAATCACATTTATCATTATTGTCTGATTGTTTTTTTTTATCGCCAAATTCCAAAACTACAGCAAATCCGGTAGTTTTGCATTAATTACAGAGATGGCTTACTTGATTTCCAGCTGTCATGGTTTGGATGTATGTGTCACGGATACTAGCTTCTCAGCGGTGGGCGAGGTGGGAGTAAGGTTTTCAGGTCCAGAGGAGGTGCTTGAGGCAGGCGACGCTCCTGGTTGTGGCGCCATTGTTGGATTACTGCTTGTGGTTAGACTGAGAGGTGCAAACGGAGGCCCACTTCCGGAGGCTTTCGATATAAGCGGACTGATGCCGACGGGAATTCCGTTATGAGCTAACGTAGCTCCAAAGGTGCGCTGGTAGGATTCCAGTAGAGACACTTCCGGAGAACCTGGCGTTAAGTGCGGGCCGTAAAAATTGCGATAAAACTCGGGCCTCATGTAAGGATGGTGGTGCAATGGGTTAAGTCCACGTCCTGCGAGAGGTGTTATGATTTTTCCTGGTGAGGGGTACCCGCCTGGTGATGAAGATTCGGAATCTTTGTTCTCCTTACTGGCCATATCAGCGAGAGACCATATTCTTGGTTTGCTGGGGTTTGTACTTCCGCTAGGGGTGTGAATCACCTCAGGAGGGGTACCTATCGTGGATCGTAAGTGGGGCGGGAAGTTGGAGGGATGCAGTAGGGGATGACCATGCATGGGCCGGTCGTAAATGTCTGGTGAATTGGGTCCACTGCCATTACGGGATCCGTTCCATTCACTGTTTCCAGGCCGATCCAGCATATCAAGCCGCGAAGGCCGGTCACCGTCTTCGCTCGATCCTGTTCCTGAATCTTTGGAATCTACGGAAATGGTAAACGGAAAACACAATGTAAGATATTTTGAAATGATTACGAAGTGGGAGTTAACTTGACTTAATCATTAACTTTCTCTAATCAGATTTTGGTTTCTTCATACGTGAAGTTGACGATTAAGAAGTTGAAGGAAGTAGGGTAGAGCCAAATATATTATATCAACAATATGACCCATCCGTGCCTTTTCCATTCATTGCAATGGCGACCCAAAACCTATTGCTACACGCACCATCTAGTGTTGAAAAGGGTCGGCAACAGTCATCCAAGGGGCACTTATTACAAAAATAAAAGTCAAATTATTTTCATTAGTTACATTTTGCATATTACATACATGCACAATTGTCTGATGTGTTACTGTTGTCATCAAATAAAATAATATGCCTAAATATATACATTTTAAGTATTAAACAAATTTCAATTAGTTTACCCCTCGTGAAGATAAAAACAATACATTAGTAGCATTTTCAGCAACAGATACGCTTTCATCGATAAAAAATTGGTTCGACAGCTAAGCGAAAGAGCGGATCATATTGTTAATATACTATATTTGCTACTTCGTTGTAATCGCCTATTTCCATCATATCGAGAAGAAAACATAAAAATATCGAAGGGTTCCCCGCAGATAAATCAACAGAACCTTTGTTCCAATTCTTCAGTGCTAAGAAATAATTCTGATATTTGACCCCCAAGTTTTTTAGAAAACAAAAAAAGCACTCATATCAAATTCGTTTTTCCTATGTACTACGAAGAAAGTCCAATGGTGTTTCAATGCATTAGGACGGAATTGAAACTCATAAGACGCATTTGGAATCAAATAGCAGTGTTAATTTTTTAATAAAATGTAATCAATTTATGGCATCAAATCCAACAAGTGTTGTTCACCGGTAATCAAACCTATAAGACATTAAACCTCCAAATTTGGTCTAAAGTTAGTGGGAGTGATAGATAAAGTAAGCTATGTCAATTGGATCTGTTTTGCTTCGAATTCAAGAGCTCACGATCTCCATTACTGACCCGATTACCGAAATTACCGGATTCCGAAACACATTTGGATGTCTAAGGCTTTTTAGATTTGATTTTAAATTAAAAATTCGAACAGTAGCGAAACATACCGGTACATAATTCTAAATCCAATGGTATGTAACATTGGATTAGGGGTTATTAACCGGTTATTTCCCTGCTATTGGAATTTTTAAAATAAATTAAAAAGAAAAGAAAAGAGAAATTAATCTTCAAGTAATCTTCAATAGACACATTTTTTATTTATTGTTTGATTCCGAGGTTGTGTTTAGTAGGACGGAAATTAGATTTAAAAACCCTACTTAATTAATGTCATTATCAGACTTAAGGATACAATTTATGCTAGAGAGGAGGGTGATGAAAGTACAGAAATGATAGTTCCGTTGGAGTACGGAGTGAGAGTGTTAAAGTTATGTATACAGGATGATTCAGAATAACTGTCAATGATTTTACAAATATGGAATTCTCAATGAGTAAAATGTACATATGTATTTTTAATTTAAAGTGTGTACAAATATCAGTTTGTATCGGTAGTAGGATTTGAAATTTCATTCGTTTGCGATTTCAAGCAGCCATGGACGTCAAAATGGAGCATGTCATAAATCTTTTTAAAATCGTGTGTTATCTTTTAGAAACTAAAACCTCTTCGAAAGAACGAAACATTTATGTTTAGCATTATTGTACAAAGGAACCATGCTTGGATAATCCGTTCAATATCAGAGCTTAGACGCATCGCCAGGACTCATAATGTAGTTTATCTGGAACATACTGATATCAAATATTCATGCAAGCGTCCACTAGTTATGACCATTTCTCAAAATAACAGTTATTCCGAATCACCCTGTAAAAGTTAAAAATGTGCTAAGGGCAATTTTTGATGATGAAACGAATCGAACAAGCATTACATTTTGATCATACGTTTGATTATGTGGTTGGTCTACTACACGTGGTTAATCTACTACATGGCCAATGATATCAACCGAAATTTGAGTTCAGTTTACTCATAATCGCAAAAAGTGCAGGAACTCAGCGGTGAGTAAATTTGGCTCATGTTTTTCCAGGAAAAAAATCCCGAATATGAGAAAAGTAAAGATTAGATTCTATCAGTCTATTGGTACTACTCCTAGACTGAGTAAAATTTTCTTAAATTTTTCTTATTTTTCGGCAGATTTTTGAGGTTTTTCACAGGATGAGGTAAATTTACTTTTTGCGATTATGAGTAAACTGTACTCAAATTTGGCTCATCTCATTGGTCGTGTATCGGAACTGGAAAAAGAAATGGTCGCTCTTCAATATGCAGAAACAGTTCTAACGATGTCCCACTCTTACCACGCTAAACTTCATCCCAAAAATCAAAATTTCACTAAAATGTTATGTTTTACGATTATTGTCAATTTTAAGGTGTCCATTTTGAAAATTTCCGAAAAGTTAGCTTATAAAAATAATGAGTGATGAACTAGTCAGATTACAAATCACTTTAATAAAGTATTAAAACAATAAATAAAAATCATTTTAAAAATAAGGAACAAGTTCTTTTTCATAGTCGAAATGACTCAATTCCAAATTTGTTTGATAGCACACAATTAAAAAAATGTGCCATGGCAATGTGTGTGAGAGAGAGAGTTAAGCAAACAATATTATGTAATGGATACCAGGCGCATCCTTTACTCCCTACCAGGCCTGGATTTAGTCCCTACCACACTTTATTAGCCCCCGCTAATTTTTCAAAATATAATGTAAAAACCATGTTACATTTAAATAATGCCGCTTATAACAACATTTTATGTGCTTAGTAAATTGTACAAAATTTTCACTTGTAGTAAAAAAAGCGTGCACAGCAAGACATATGCCGCTATGTAACATATTTCCAATGAGAATTTAACTTGAAGCCAACATCACAACGCAGCGTTTAGAATTCTAAGGGCTTAACTGCGATGTTCGATTCTCTCTATCGGGTTTGTCTTTGAATGACTACACTGTTAGATAAAAATAAATCAGTGTGTTTTTACAGTATTTTTAAGGTTGTATTAACTTTAACAGTAACAACACCAAATGCACCAAGAAATTTTAAACCAGGCTAGTTATTAACAACACACAAAAATCAATAATGAGCATCAATCTTTTAAGGTTGCTTCTAAAGATTTTAAACGCTAGATGTAATTTAGCAAACGATTGCATTCTGTTATTTTTCATCATGATTATGTGAGAATGAGCGGATTACTTGTGGACTATGCGGACTCAAAAAGACATAAATTCAATGATCACGAATCATTGGGTATACCTAACAAAGATTGGAAGAAGTATAATATCTTATCCAGGTAAAATGTGGCTTATTCAGCTTAAAAAAGATTTTTCAGTTGAATGAATATTACGATGAAGAGCGTACAAGATAGCAGTTCAACTCTCTTATCTATTTGAAATTAGTCTAATCGACACTCTCTGCATAGGGAAATCAAAACCTGTCAGTTCTTTCCATGATCGATCTGCTAATTAACTCTCCAATAGCGGTGTACAAGCTGGCAATGTACCGCTTTGTGTTCCTGTTTGGCATAAATATCAGTCCTTCTGAATTGTCGTTCACCTTAGAAAGCAAAAATGTAGCGTTTCCAAAATCCTTAAAACTCTATCTTGGAAACGGAACTAAATATAGTTAACTATACACCTCAAAAATAAAGCTATGTTCATTGTGAAAATTCTTCCAAACATGTTGGGGAATTGACCTATTCTCGCCATTCTAAGCAGCGTCCGTGCTTCTATTTGGATTTTCTCAGAAACACACACACATATGACGTGTTTAGCTGTTTACATTTATCTGCTGCTTGCTATCCATTCCAATCGACAGAATTGTTCAAAACTGTTTGAATGTGTTTTTACAACGCTTCAAACTTCTCAGAAGCCTTATCATTTGAACCAGCTGTTCTTTTACCGGCAACTCAAAATCAGCCGCATTTTGAAGTGCTTATATTTAATTTAAAGAAAAATCTGTGCTAACAGGATTGCGCAGTCGTAAAAGTGTAATTAGATGGAAGCTGAACGACTTTTTTTCTTATAGTCACTTTAACGCTTTTGGGTCATTCGTGACTTGTTTGGGGGTGAGATTTGAACTCGTGACTTTGGCGTGAGAGGTATGGATGCTACGCCGGGGTCGCCCCAGCTGAAAGACTAAGGAATCGTTTGAATACATACAGCAGTGTTTTGATGCAAAAATACCTCTTAAACGGATTCTTAGTTTCTTAAATATTTTGGTGATTCAAAATAATTTAGGAATGTCAATGTCTCTTTTGTGATTGATGGGCTATTTTGACGTTTTTAGCCAATGTTGGCGATTCACGACCTTTTTGGAATTTTAGAGCCATTTTGAGAAGGTCATTTTGAATATGTTGGGCCATTTTTGGCGTTTTACCGATTCATGATTATTATTGAGCCACAGACAAACAGACGTAACTCTTTGAAAAACTTGTTCTTGAAAACATAGTATCTCAAAACATATAACCTCAGTAACGACATCTCTCTGGCTTCTCGCGGAAAACAAGCTTGCTCGCTAACTCGTAAACAATATTGCATAAAAGTTCTATAGAATATATAGAAACGTCAAAGTGATCTGATGCTAGCGCTGCGGCGAGTAGTTCGCGGAACTGATAATATTCAAATCAACCGTTAAATGCATGAACGAAGATACACAATGAAGAGTTACGTCTGTTTGTCTGTGATTGAGCTGTCGTTTTGAAGAGTTGTCAGTCCGTTTTTGAAGTTGCAAGGTAATTTTTGCGTCTTTTAACATATTCTTGGCCATTTTAGTATTGCAAAGCCATTTTGGTAATTATAGGCAACACATTCAACATGAACTTAATTGTTTTCTGATAAAAGCGTACATTTCACAGGTGCAGCTGCACCTTATTAAAAACTTAAAGTGCATATTCCAAAAGATGCGAAAGATAAAATTATGCAAAACTTCTGAACATACTTAAACGCAAAAATGTACGATAAATCGTAAAACAATTAAGTGAGTTTTTGCTTTTAACGCTGTGCACTCTCTTAAAGTTCCACAACATCCAAAAACAAATTTAAGACCTATTTCTGTCTAACATTTTTTTTTATCGTTGAAGCATCTATGTACATCCTATAATCGCAGAACTATGTCATATGAGCAGGAAGTCACGCATAGATGGCACTGATATGTGATTATGTAACTATGCAAAGATCCAGCTTTAAAAAACACTTTTGACTTTTGGTTCGTAGGGTCAATCAACTACTACGAAATACGGTACGTATATCGGTACTTACCTAGTATTTCCTTATCATCCTTCAAGCTCTTGTTATCGTCGTCGTCATCGTCCAGGTTGACATCGTCGTCCTCCACCCGGTTGCGGGGCTCCCAGGTCATTTTATTCTCCTTTTTTAGCCGCCGCCGCGCGTTCGCGAACCACGTGGACACTTGCGTGAGGGTCATTTTCGTGATTATCGCTAGCATAATCTTTTCGCCTTTGGTAGGATACGGATTCTTTTTGTGCTCGTTTAGCCACGCTTTCAGCGTGCTCGTGGTCTCCCGGGTGGCGTTTTTCCGTCGCGCTCCGTTCAGATCCATTCCGTAGCTGGTTGGGCGTGGTGGAAAGAAAAAAAAGGAGAAAAAGGGCAGGGGAAAATGATTAATTTTCTGGCTAGAACCACTAATTGCACAATATTGTGTGAGGTGAACAGTCGAGAGAAGAGTGAGTGAGCGAGTGAATGAGCAGCAAAAAGTCGAAATGGCCGTGTGGTATGAAAATTCATATTCTATTCCGTGGTCTGACTGGCTTCAGGGAGAGTGAAAAACTTTCTATAATTTCAAACAGCCGCTGCCAGCAGTTTTTGGTCATTCTGTGGTGTTTCACCAGCACGGAAAACCGTAATATTGTGGTTTTGTTTGTTCGTTCGGACTTTTTGACTTGCTGCCATTGCTAGTCCGGTACGGTTGTTAACGACAGGCTCGTGAGGTGAGAAACCAAAGAATCGGTGGCGCAACGAGCGATTGAAAATGTTCCATGTCGAACACGTCGATTACCCGAGTCGCAAAAACATCATTTGCTCCGGGTCTACGAGGCAAAGATGTATGTTGAAACGATAACAGATCATGTTAGAGCTCTCAGTTGTACGAAAGATGGCCATCATAGGTGATAGAGTTGGTCACTTCCGGCCGGGGTGCTTGGGTGAGATTTCAATCAAGCATGCATTGAATAAGACTTATTCGCTTGACAATTTAACACCGCTTACTACGCTATCAGATAACTGTGGTGACCCAGCCATGACACACTATGATATGGGCACTGGCGGTGGTGGGTCACGCCTTGGGCGCCATTTCGGTTCGTCGTGATATGCTACGGATGCGAAAAAACAGCGAACCAAAAGAACATCATGTTACCTCCGGGCGTAACAAGCTTGTACTCTGTGTTTCCAGCAAGCAATCGCAAAAGTTTTATCAATTTTCATTCTCCACACCCATGCAGTCAGTCGGGGAAGAAAAGTCACACATTTTCATGACGGCGGCCGAGAAGCGCCCTATCAAATTGACTGCGTTTTCTTTTATTACAACCCAAAAAAAAACTAAAGAAACGAAACGAAAAGCCGGGACAAACGAGACAACCGAGATTTGGACCGCTGCCGCCGCCGTACAAGAGACGCCATGTTTTATGTTCTTCTTTTTTTTCCGGTTGTTATCATCTCGATTTTATGCTGTCGTCGAAACCATACACCTTCCAGAAGGTGTAGAAACTGCGAGAAAATAAAAAAACCACAGGCTCGATTTGATTCTCAATTGAATAAACATTAAAGCAATTATCAAGCCAGGCATGAATTGGCTTTGGTGGCCAACAACAACGGACCAAGCATGGAGCCACCAACAGGGAGTAAGTTCCTGATCGAGAATATGCGGCCAGAATGTGAAGCCAAATGAATGATGTATGAAAAATCGTTAAAAGTGGTCTTCTTGAACTCAGTTCTTTTACTCGATGCTGTAAGGGAGGTACTCCATTTTGCCGCCTTCAAGTAGTAGGCTGTGCAATGTAAAACAATCGTTATGATTCACTAGAGAGGTTTGGGACCGCAGACGGCCATGGAACAACGACGAATGAGGAACGGGATAGAGATCTCATAAAAAGAACATGAGAGCGCGTAAAAGTTATAATTTAAAGTGCTGTTTCTCCACCCCAATCATCGTCTTTTCGCACTTTAAAACCCAATAATCAAGTGTTTAGTGTTCTGTTATTTACTAGGGATTCCGTTGCTCAGTGCCTTCTGAATTCATAAGCGGACGCTTTTTTGTCGATTCCACCCTAACACTCCGGGTAGAGTGCGAAAGAAAGACCCAAAAGAAGTTGTTCTCGATGAGGCATACGACGACGGCGCAACATGTGAACAGAGAGTGAGCCACTTTTTTCATAAATTTATAATGAATGGTAATTATAACACATAATCGTCTATCGTCGCTGAAGCGAGCCATGGCGACCAAAACTCCAGTAGAGTGGGGTGGTCTGAGAATTCGAGTAGGCAAACAGGCAGTTCGTTTAAAATTTAAAAGCATGACGAACAGGCGAGACCGATGAGATCTTGCAAATGAAGCGAGAAAGTGAGGCAATTTGAATGCATTGCTGCAGAAAACAGAATATGTATACAGATTCGTGCTCGGTTGGTTTGTTGCTTCCAAACAGAATCGATTTGGATAGAGAACGTCTTGCCCGTAGCACGAGCAATAAAGGCTGGATGAAACGGTTTGACTGCGATTTAGACAGGATGTTGCGGCTACCGCAGTAGGCGGGAAGATAATAAATTGATAAGTCATGTTCTGTGATGGATTGTTACCCCTTCTAGGTATGTAGTTTGCGATTCCATTGAAACAAAACCATAGCAACTAACTACCACCAGACTGTACACATTCCAGACTAATCGTAACACATTGAAATCGCCGAATGAAACCTCGTGGAGGGCTAGTGGAGATCGATATGCATGAAACAATATCACTATTTTATGTTTTTCTATTCATAATTTTTTAGAGACTTTTCCTCCTGTCAACGTGCATATTATATTATCATGATGGGTTTATTAATTTCATATTAGGGGAAGTGTACCAGTAGTTGAGCTTCCCTAATTAGCCATAATCAATCATAATAAGTTTTACCAAAATTTTCAATGCTAGCATACAGTTAAGCATTGAAACTAAACTTCATATGGAAGAAAATCTAATTAGCACGCAAATTGAGAGGTTTTAGGTCTTATGGCCAATTAGGAGAGCAATAGTACAATAACTGGTACATTTCTCCTATTTAAACCACGAATGGAATGAAGTCGACTTCCGTGTACATCACAGGACATCCGGGACTTAGTCTGACAAAAGTATATCATCTAGCAATTTTGTTTTCTCTCTAAAAAAGTTCATATGATAGAGGACTACCCGAGCAAAGTCGCATTGTATACATATTTACACTCATTATTCTCAAATACAAAATATAAGAGATGAACTAGCCTATGGCTAAAAATCTCTATAATAAAGGAAAAAAAAAAATAAAAAATAGCGCTTCTAGCGAATCCATTTTTTATTACCGTCATCTGTAGGAAGAATGAAATCCCATGGTTTTTCAATGCGTTAGGACGAATTTCAAACTCGTAGGACGAATTTGGAATCAAGATTTTGTTAGTTAATATTAGATTTTTAACAATATTTTAACTATTTGTTGCTCGTTTTTAAATCTAAATATAAATAGTGTTGGGTGAAAATGCATAGACGCATCCCTCGGTAAATTCATCGCACATATCTTGTAAGTGTTTGTTGACAGCTGATGACAGGTACCTTTCTTTTAACTTTGACAAACTAATTTGCGATAAACATTATGGCGAAAATAAAGGGAGATCACGGGCGATTAACGATGGATACCAATTTGTAACTGTGTATTCTCGTGATGTAGCGAAGCTGTAAGTAATTATTATTGAATAAAAAATATTTCAGCTTTGGTGCGTGTGCCAGCTACGTATAATTTCGCATGTTGTTGCTTGTCCCGCTGAAGGATTCGGTCTCCGTGTTCCCCTCAAGTTAATAAATAGGTTCATAAAGTCATCTTTAGTAGAAACATTTCATTTTTCTGGATGTCCGGATGTGTTGAGATAAATTCCGTTTGTTCGAGGAGATTGTAGAGTTCGACAGTGAGCATGCATAAGGGCCTATACGCGATGATGGATTCTCTTCGTCGATTTTCTCTTTTGTTAATAGCTCGCTAGATTTAACGTTTCTCGGTGCGTTTGCTGTTGCTTTTGATAGCCAATGCAACCTGTTACTACTCTGCATTGAACAAATTCTGGAAAATTGTTTCGCTTAGCTGTAGCAATGCAAAGAGAAAGTCGATGAAGAGAATCGATCATCGCGTATTCGCCCTTATGCATGCTCACTGTTGAGTTGAAAATTTTGTTGACTTCCCTGGGCGTAGAGTATCACTGTGCTTGTCACATGGTATACGAGTGCAGCTACTCTATTTTAAAAAATCGACCATATTTCAGTGATTTCAGGTAGTGTAGTAGGACATCGATCTGTCAAAATGATTATAACAGATGTAAATTTGACAGGGAATCAAGCGGGTAGTAAATTCTATTAAAATAATTCTAACGTGGTTTATAATTCTTGTCTTCTTAGTGCTCCTGTATTTCCTTATCGAATTACGTCCATTATTAATAATTATATAGCTAGCTTTAAAAAAATCATCCCTTTGCCTCACACAGCAGAAAATATATTAACGTTTGCGAAAAAAAGGATAAATTTTCCCTGGGTTTTTTGTGCGATAACCTGCCACCAAGCGATTAATCCTGAAATGTCATTTGAGGTTACCATACGTTTACAGTCCAACTTTGAAAGCGATGCGTATTTGTTTTTCTATAGTTATGGCTGAAAAAGTGGCGAAACTCAACACGAATACTTGTTAAGATCTTCGAACTCAAATTTAGCGCGGTAATTTTTTTCAATTTTCTTTCAATGTGGTAAACTTGGAAAAAAATCTTTGAACTTTATCTGATTTTCAGAAACTATTTGAATAAAACCTTGATTTCATTTGGTTTCGTAAGAGCAGTGGTCGCAAATTATCAAAGCTAAATTTGAATTAGCGGGTTAACGATTCAGCTAAATGTTTAAACTGATCACGAACCAGTTAGCTTCGCGCTAAATTTGGGTATGCTTATATTACTAATTTGATAATCAATAATTTTAAAGTACACTTAACGTTTGTCAAGTGAAAGATCTTAAACTGGAATGTCTTTTAGTTGAAATTTTACTAACTGACATAATTTTCAGTTAAAGAATAGTTATAGAAATGCAAGTTTATGCTTTAGACAATAGAAGAAGATTTTTTTTTCAGAAACCAAAATTTTCCTTTCATCATAATAGATGCACCCTTATTAGCGACTAACGAGCTCAAATTTTATGCCGACAGCATTGAGTAAGATGCATACATTTGTAGCTAGTATATATTGTGTTAGCTAGTATTGTAAGAGAGTTGTACCTCTTCCGTCCGTAGCGTCAGTCCAAGAATACTTTTCAAGTAACAGATTTTTGACACGAAAAGTTGCACCAACTTGATTG